TATATTGGTGAGATAGGATTTGAAGTTTTTTATAATAGATATATAATAATATTTAGTGAAAAAATAAGTGTGTGTGTGTGTGTATATACATATATATGTGTATATATATATATATAAATATATATATATATAATTCATAGTTAATAAAAGTTAAATACATAGATTAAAAAGTTTAGGAGGAAAGCAGTACAAATTCTGAATTCTGTTTTGTTTGTTTCCAGATTGGGATTAAGGACAACTTTTTTCTGTTTCTTTATAGCTTTTTGTACTGTGGTAGACTCAATGCTACATGATCACACAAAGCATTTTACTCCTGCTGCGGACACACAGGAGGACTACATTTCCCAGCATCCTGCCAGGTATGGTCATGTGACCCATTCTGGCCACTGGGATATGGGCATAAGGTGTCAACTATTGCCAGGCCTGGCCCTGACAGGCTGCACAGACTCAGGCTCCTGGTTCCAAGATCCCAAAGGACTCCAGACCCCCAGAAGGCAGTGGAGCCTCTAAAGGAAAGAGGTTAGATCCTGGTTGCTGCTAGAAGAGCAACCCAACCAGCAGGATTGTGAGATGAAGGAGAAATCTTCTATTGTGTTTATTTCTCAGTGAGGCTACCAAGCTTCAGGGTTATTTGTGTTAGAGTCATTTTATTTATTATTTTTTGGGGGGTAGCAGCAGAGGGAAAGGGAAAGAGACTATCTTAAGGGGGCTCCCCACTCAGCATGGAGCACAAGTGGGCCTCAATTGCACAACCCTGAGATCATGACCCGAGCCCAAATCAAGAGTTGGAGGCTCAAGTCAGTGAGCCATCCAGGTGCCCCTGTGTAATAGTCATTTTAATTATCTTCATAAATATACATACTTGTCATTTTTTAAAAATTGAAAGTAATTCAAATAAAATATAGCAACATTAGTTATTTTGCCCAAAAATTCAAATTTAGCTGGTGATTTTTTTAAATTCCCTTAAAATTGTAAGAATTGAATTGCCCATTAAGGCAGTAATAATGACAGCAGCACTAGAAACAACAATAATTAACTCACTTTAGGTGTAAAGCTTCACAAATTTTCATAATTGTACATAGTCACGTAACCACAATCAATATCTGGAAGTTTCAATCACTCCAAAAAGCTCCCCTGTGGTGATCACCTCCCCCAGGATCCTGCCCCTAGGCACCCATGGACCTATAACACTGTATTTTGCTTAGAGTTTCACACAAATGGAATCACACAGACCTAACATTTTGTGATTGACTTTTTAAAAGATTTTATTTATTTATTTGAGAGAGACAGTATGAGCAGGGGAAGGGGCAGAGGGAGAGGGAGAAGCAAACTATCTGCCCAGCAATCTGAGGTGGGGGGAGGTGCACAGGTCTTGATCCCAGGACCCTGAGCTGAAAGCAGATGCCTAACCGACTGAGCCACCCAGGCAACCCCATGATTGGCGTTCACTTAACCTAATGTTTTTGAGATTCAACCATGTTGTTGCATATATTAATATTCTGACCCCTTTAATTGCTGAGTTACCCCTTCTTCTTGCCAGTAATAGAGTGCTCTAAGTACTAGTTGGGTACCCACAGCCCAGTTCAAGACTACCTTCTATAGGTGTGGCTACATAACTAAATTCACTCCAGTGAGAGGTGGGCAGGAAGAGTAAATAGTATATCCAATTTCCAGGCAAGCTGCTCCCAAATGGCAAGTTGCTCATCCTGAATTTCTCCTTCCTGCAAGCTGGAAAATTTGATAACCACAGCAACCTTGGAAGCAACACGGTCAGGGTGGCGGAACACCCCTATTGCCCTGACTCACCCACCTATGGATTGCTACCAGGGAAATAAATACATTTCTATCTTATGTAAGCCACTGTAGTTTGGATCTCTTAGTTACAGCAGCCAAGTAATTATTAGCCTGACAAATGTGCTCCCCATGAAGAAGGGGTTATATTTTATTTCTCTTTGTAACCTCATCATGATCTAGCTCAGTGGCTTATATTGAATAAGCTTTCAGTAGCTGTTTACTGGAATAAATATTGAATAAATGAGCAAATGAATTCCATGTATGTGTAATTTTAGCACTGAGAGAAATATTTAAAATTTTAAAATCCCACACACTTTTATTTTTTAAACGACATCAAATGAAAGTATGTTCTGCAAGATTTGGCTTTGACACATCAAAATATGCCTAAAGCTAAAGTTGGTAATGTCAAAAGTACAGAAAACAAGATGCTTTTCAAAAATGGTACATATATAATAACACTTCAGAGTTTTTTCAAGTTTTAAAGTATTATAGAATTATAAAATAATACAATCAAGGATAAATTATTATGTATCAACCATTTAAAGTAATTTTACATACAAATTTACACTTTCCAAGTGTAATTTTGTTCTTTCCAAGAAAAGCGATCAATTTCCAAATCAGTTGAAACATTGCTATAACAATTAACTGGAAATATGTTTCATAAAAGGTAATCAGTATGAATCTAAGGGCTTGATCCCCACTGAAACAAAAGTGGTACCTTGCTGACAAAATCTGGTCAAAACAATTCATAAATTTATCCTGCATTTCTTGGAAAAATTAGCTGTGTGAAAAACTATAAATGGTTTAAAATGTTATTTAATTCATCTCTAGTTACTATAATTAACTTAAATACCTAGGTCAATTTTTCTTTATAGCATAAAAATCAACTGAATTTCATGTTGTTTCACAAATACGATTTTTAAAAGACTGTTGCTATTCATGACTAACCTACTTCTATTTAGCACCAGTCATTCCTTCTGCTATTAAAGCTTTAGTGAAAAGCTCTCTCTTGCTCTTTTTTAAAGATTTATTTATTTGAGAGAGAGAGAACACACACGTGAGTAGGGGGAGCGGCAGAAGAGAAGGAGAGAATCTCAAGCAGACTCTCCACTGAGCTTAGAGCCCAATGGAGGGCTCAATCCCACACCCTGAGATCATGACCTGAGCCAAAATCAATGTCAGAGGCTTAAGCAACTGAGGCACCCAGGCACCCCCAAAAGCTCTCTTTTTAATGTGAAAGCAACAAAATTTAGTGTAGAGGCTAGATATTGATATAGAAATACCAAGTTTTAGGGCTTATACTATTGTCAAATGTCAGTGTCTTGTTTATACCAGAGAAGCTAGGCCCATCCAGCTCTTAGGAGATCCTACAAAGGGTTCCCATTTGCTCTCACTCCACTGGGCTCCAAGGGTGCAGTTTTTTCTTAAGGTCAAACTAATCCTTAGCAACTATAATTGTATGCTATTACCATCAATTTACTTAGTAAAATTAAGCACTTGTTAGAGTACATTCTAACCCTAAAAAACAGCAAATCAATCTCCATCCCAGTAAATGTTGTTTTAAATGTAATGATTGATTAGCATCCTTTTAATCTAATAAACTATAAATGGTATGTTCTCATTGAACTCACATTGATATCTCAAGCTACTTACCATTCCTTCATTTAGGATAATGAAAAATCACTTAAGGTCATTTACATGGCTGGCATGTAAAGTTAAAGTAGCTATTCATCACTAAAATATTATGTGCAATTATTAAAATGGCATTTCATTGTACAGGCATATGTCACTTTATTGTGCTTCACACATATTGCTTTTTTTTTTTTTTTTAACAAATTGAAGGTCTGTGGAAACCCTGAGTAGAACAAATCTACTGGTGCCATTTTTCCAATACCATCTGCCCACTTCATGTCTATGCATCACATTTTGGTAGTTCCTGCAATATTCCAAGATTTTTTATTTTTATTCATTTGTTACAGTGATCAGGGTCTTTGGTGTTACTACTGTACTTGTTTTGGGGTGTCACAAAATGTACCCATGGATGATGGCAAACTTAATAACGGTTGTGTGTTCTGGCTGCTCCACCCACTGGCCGTTCCCACCCCTCTTTTCCCCTCTCCTCAGGCCTCCCTATTCCCTGAGACACAATAATATTGAAATTTGGCCAATTAATAACCCTACAATGGCTTCTAAGTGTTCAGGTGAAAGGAAGTATCATATGTCTGTCACTTTAAATCTAAAGCTAGAAATGATTACATTTAGTGAGGAGGGCATTATAAAAAAACTGAGATAGATGGAGAGGAGAAGGGAGTTGGGGGAAATTGGAGGGGGAGACAAACCATGAGAGACTGTGGGCTCTGAAAAACAATCTGAGGGTGTTGGAGGGGTGGGGGATGGGAGGTTGGGTGAGCCTGGTGGTGGGTATTATGGAGGGCACGTATTGCTTGGAGCACTGGGTGTGGTGCATAAACAATAAGTTCTGGAACACTGAAAAGAAATTTAAAAAATAAATAAAAATTAAAAAAAAAACCTGAGATAGGCCAAAATCTAGGCACCAGTTAGTCAAATTGCATGGAAAGGAAAAGTTCTTGATGGAAATTAGAAGTGCTACTCCAGTGAACACATGAATGAATGATAAGACAGTGAACTAGCTTGATTGTTGACATGGAGAAAATTTGAGTGGCCTGGATAGAAGATCAAACCTCCATAACATTAAGCCAAAACCTAATCCAGAGCAAGGGCCCAACTTTATTTAATTCTATGAAGGCTTAGAGAGGTGAAGAAGCTACAGAAGAGAAGTCTGAAGCTAGAAGAGATTGGCTCATGAGGTATAAGGAAAGAAGCCATCTCCATAAAAGAATAGAGCAAGAGGAAGCAGCATGTGCTGTTGTAGAAGCTGCAGCAAGTTCTCCAGATCTAGCTCAGATCATTAGTGAGGGGGGCTACACTAAACAACAGATCTTCAATGTAGACGAAACAGCCTTCTATTGGGAGACGATGCCAACATAGGACTTTCCCAGCTAGAGAGAAGTCAATGCCTGACTTCAAACCTTCAAAGGGCAGGCTGCCTCTTTTAGTAGGGTCTAATGTAGCTGGTTGAGGCTCATTAATTGTTCTGAAAATCCTAGAGCCCTTAAGGATTACATTAAATCTACTCTGCCTGTGTTCTATAAATGGAACAACAAAGCCTGAATGACAGCACATCTGTTTACAACATGGTTTACTGAATATTTTAAGGCCACTATTGAAACCTTCTGCTCAGAGAAGAAGATTCATTTCAAAATATTAGTGCTCACTGACAATGCACCTGGTCATACAAGAACTCTGATGGAGATAGAGAAGATTAATGTCTTCATGCTTGCTAACACATCCATTCTGTAGTCCATGGATTAAAAAGTAATTTTGACTTTCAAGTCTTATTAAGAAATACCTTTCATAAGGCTATAGCTGCCATACATAGTGATTCCCTCTGATGGATTTTGGCAAAGTAAACTGAAAACTGAGTCATGGAAAGAAAACTTTCCTTCTGGAAAGGAGTCACCATTCTAAACGCCATTAAGAATATCTATGGTTCATGGAAATAGGTCAAATATCAACATTAACAGGAATTTGGAAGGAGTTGATTCCAGCCCTCATGGAGGACTATGAGGGATTCAAGATGTCGGTGGAGGCAGTCACCGCAGGTGTGGTGGAAGCAGCAAGAGAACTAAGATAAGCAGAGGAGCCTAAAGATGGGACTAAACTGCTATAAACTCACGATAAAACTTGAACAGATGAGCGGTTGCTTCTTATGGCTGATCCAAAAAAAAGTGGTTTCTTGAGGTGGAATCTGCTCGTGGTGAGGATTCTGTGAAGACTGTTGAAATAACAACAAAAGAGTTAGAAATATTACATAAACTAAGTTGATAACGCAGTAGCAGGGTCTGAGAGGATCAACTCCAATTCTGAAAGAAGTTCTACCGTAAGTAAAATGCTATCAAACAGTGGCACATGCTACAGAGAAATAGTTCATGAAAGAAAGAGTTTTATGGGCAAAATTCACTGTTGTCACCCCTGCCCTCAGCAACCACCACCCTCATCAGTCAGTAACCATCTATCTCAAGACAAGACCCTCCCAGAGCAAAAACATTATGACTTGCTAAAATCTCAGATGATAGTCAGCAGCTTTTAGCAATAATTTTTTAAATTACAGCATGTTCATCAGCTTTTTAGACATATGACTACTGTACACTTAATAGACCACCATACAGTGTACATGTAACTTTTATATGCACCGGTAAACCAAAAATCTCATTTGACTCACTTTATTTTGACACTAGCTTTATTGCAGAGGTCTGGAACCAAAACCACAGCATCTCCAAGGTATGCCTGGACTCAAAACTAGTTGTTCTAATGTGAATTTTAAGTAGGAACTGAGCTAAATATATTCCCCCATGTAATTTCTCCTCAAAAGCCTTAACAAACTGTTATTTGCAGAAGAATTTCAACAAATAATGATTATTTGCCCTACAATTAAAACTAGAATGGCTGCTTGACATTTAGAACTCAAAATGGAAAGTTCTTTTTATCCACCCTGCCTACCTTTGGGATTGCACTTATCTTGCTATTTGCCTGTGAGGGACTCAGCTCGTTTTCCGACTTAGGGTCACAGAGCCTTGGAAAACTATTGTATAATTTGAAAAATTACCATTTTACCAAAAGGGGTTTGCCTAAGGACCTCCCTCTATTTGCCTTTGATTCTATTTGCCTCTTGGGTGGGGATGAGGAAGAGGAGTAATGGCTGGAAGGGATGAGAACAGTGAAGATATGCTGGGAAGCGAGCTACATAAGGTCAAGGTGAAAGCATCTGTCTCCTATGTCTTCTAAGACAGTGCTGCTTTTGAGCTGGCTGAGAGGGACAGATTGTCCCAGGGGTAGTACATACCACCTGGAACTGACAAAAGGGATTAAGAATGATGATGGGTGGCTGTTGGCTCTCAGACTGTCATCTGCGTATTTTACACAACCAGATGCTTTCTTGGATTGACCAGATTAATTCCAGGCCCAAAGAGCAAAAGAATCATAAAACAGAGTCATAGAATGTGAGAAGTGAACTGAACTGTGGATATTACTGTCCTGATATGTAGAAAACCAAATATTTCCCATGACTTGCCCAGATAGTACACAGGGCAGGAATCTGAGCTGGGAATCCAAATGCCAGGCCCCTCAGCCCATATCCTCATATGCTACACACTGTGGTGGTCCCAATCTTCAGACCCTGTCTTCCATCTGCAATCATGCCTAAAGCAACAGGGCCAGTGGGGAGGTGATAATGAGACTCGCTTTTCTCCCTGGCTCAAGCCTTCTGAGAAAGTTTGTTTTGGACTTTGAAGCACTCTCCTCCTCTTAGACAAATCTCTTACTTCCTTTCCTCTTTACAGTGCCTTATCTGGGCAACCAAGGATATGGAGTAGAGAAATCTTGGAGTCCATGAAAAGATGACACAGAGATTACTGCCACTAAGGGGACTCAAATCAGTCACTGAGGCATGCTATAAAGACTGATAATTAGTTAATAAATCTAGGCATTTTTTTCATCCAAAAATTCCTCCACTCAGGAGGGTAAATTCTCACACCATCACTATGATAGGTCTTTATAAATGGGGCACTGCTGGGGAGCCTGGGTGGCTCAGTCGGTTAAGTATCCCACTTTTAACTTCAGCTCAGGTCATGATCTCAGGGTTGTAAGACCGAGCCCCGCATCTGCCTCCTCAATGGGCATGAAGCCTGCTTAAGATTCTCTCTCTCTAGGGGCCCCTGGGTGGCTCAGTCAGTTGAGCATATACTTTTGGTTTCAGCTCAGGTCGTGAACTCGCAGTTGTGAGACTGAGCCTTACAAAGGGCTCTGCACTTAGTGCTGAGTCTGTTTCAGATTCTCTCTCTGCCTCCCTCCCCCTCTCCCCGCCTTGCTTGCTCTCTCTCTAAAATAAATGAACAAATAAAATCTTAAAAAAGAGATTCTCCCTCGGCTTCTGCCATTCCATCCTCCCTCTCTAAAAAGATAAAAAATAAATAAATGGGGGCACTTCAGGAGCCTCCCTCCCCCCTTTTTTTTCTTCACAATTCCCACTGCAGAGTGTTTTCTTGTGGAGACCTGCACTGGCCTTACTATCAATAAGTCTGCCCATATTTATCAGTTTGCAAATCATATGAAATATGTCTTTTCTTATTAATAAACACGCATGGTAGTCAGTCATACTAAAAATGAGATTGTCTTAAAAAATGACATTCTTTGGGACACCTGGGTGGCTCAGTGGGGTAAGCATCTGCCTTCGGCTCAGGTCATGATCCCAGGGTGCTGGGATTGAGTCCTGCATCGGGCTCATTGCTCAGCAGGGAGCCTGTTCCTCTCTCTGTCTCTGCCTGCCACTCTGCCTGCTTGTGTGCGTGCACACTCTCTCTCTCTCTCTCTCTGACAAATAAATAAATAAAATCTTTTAAAAAAATGAGATTCTTTAGTACCAGTGTTCCAATGACCCACTCAACCTGGGTCATCTATAGTACTCTCCTCCGCTTATGGGATTTTTAGCACTATTATCTATTGAATGCCTCCTCTGTGCAAGCATGATTTAAAATATTTTTCATGCTGGACTCATTTATATCTTGTAATAAGTGTATGGGGTAGGTTCTGACATTATCTCATTTTACAGATGAGAAAACTGACTTACAGAGGTTAAGTATAATCATTTGTCAAGTGCCACACCTACTAACAGAGCCAGGATCTTAACAGAGGCAGCCTGGTTCCATGCTGTTTCCTATTAACCATGTTACACTACCTCTCTAGAGGTCAGCTAGTCTGCAATAGCTGTGTGTGTGTGTGTGTGTGTGTGTGTGTAATATCATATAGTTGAAAGAGCACAGATTTTAAAGTCAATGAAACACTGAGCTTAATTCCAGCTCCTCCTCTATATGTTATTTGCTTTAAACAAGTTCTAAATGACTTCGTTTTCTCACCTATAAAATGAGAACAGAAATGACTACCTCACTGAGTTAAGGAATTAAATAGGACATGCACAGAAAGGGTCTAGGTGTGCATGACTCCTAGCAGGTGCCCAACATAAGTTAGCACCCTCTCTTCCCTCTGGTTCTGACCCAGTTATTTAATCTGACTGTTCTGGTCAGTCTATTCTCATTAATGTAAACCTTAAGACAAGAAGGGTTAGATCACATTATGGAAATTATATACAGTACTTCCTTTCAGCCTGATTCTTTGGCTTTCCAGACTCTTACGTGTTTCATTACAGTCAGAAGCATGAAAGCAATCCTCGGGAGCTGGATTTTCAATCAGAAAAAGATGATGTAGAATAAGGAAACAGACTGACCACTATGTAAAATTTGGGTACATATTTTTGATTCTTATATTTCTATAGTCTCAGTATCTTAAGCTGTTTTTCCTTTCTAGGACATACGTTCAGGATCACAAGAATAACACAGCCCATCACCTCCTTCAGTGTTCATTCTTTTTTGCATCTGTTTAAAATGTTAAGAGGTTTGACTGGTAAGAAAGGCAATGATCCCTTTCAACCCAAGCTAATTTATATAATTTCTAGTTCAAAAATTGTCTAGTGTAAAGGACTTGTCCAAATGTATCCAGATTTATCAAAAACATACATTTTCCAGCTCCTAAATGAGACGTGAAACCTATTATAGCCAGCTCGGCGGAGCATTCCACACCCCCTGGCACAGGACAGAGCAAGCTCGGTCAGGGTGAGGGCTGGGATCTGGAAGGTGTTCAGCTCTCGCAGCTCTTGGCCACAATGTGGGGATATATCAGGAGAGCTTCAAGGGACTGAACTTCATGTGATTGACTGGGGAAAGGTACTTATTGCCTGTACAATCACCAACGGAAACTTTACTTTGGGAAAGTGTCATAGGGAAGATGGATGGTCAACCTGTTTACTTCTTCTAGAGAGGACACTAGGTCTTACTTGTTTTACCACGTGCTACATGTATCAGTTAGCAATGCTCTCAGTGCACTACTGAATGAGAATCATCAGAGCTTTGATTGAGACAAACCCTAACCTTCGCATGATGTCACAGAATTGCATACGTGAAAAATGCTTCATCCCAGTCCCTGCCTCCCTCTACATGGTATTTAATGTGTTGGGGGCAGAGTATTGTCAGTGTGCTTCTCCAGTGTCTCCAAGCAAATACCCTCTACTGTTTGGTGACCCAACACTGATCTTGCACACTATTATGCCTTAGAATGGGTGACTGAATTGTATCCATAAGAAGAAAAAGAGGACACGGAAGGAAAGACGAAAATGCCTTCACCGAAGTAGAATACAAAGAGCGTGGATTTTAAACCCACAGAGGGTGGTTCCAGCTCTGTCATTTGCTAGCGTGTCACCTTGTACAAGTAATTTAACCTCTAAGCCTCAATTTCTTCGCCTGTAAAATGGGGATAATACATAAATTGGATCATAAATAGTGCTAAAAATAGTCATCTATTATTACTGCGTGCTTCCTATGTACAGCATTTGGTTCCAGCACTTTATGTATTCATTTAGTATTCAGAACACCTCTAAAGAATAGATTTTATTGTAATCTTGACTTTACAAGGAGGAACTGAGGCACAGTAATTGACCTAGTTGTAGCCATTACTATGAATAATCATGGTGTCATACTGTCGGGATTTAAAAGCATTAACATCTAATAAAGGCAAGTAAAACCAACAGGAATTTCTTCACTTAAAAATATTACATAATCAAGACATATATGGAAAAAACTGAGTAGGAAGTAAGATAAATCACTCTTTAGATTTATACTTGATTTCCTCCCCCTTTCTTTCTTTCTCCAAAATGGTAGGTCATCATGA